AGGCAGCAATAGTGGTAGTTGTGAAGGCAGCAAGGGTGGTGGTTTTGCAGGCAGCAATAGTGGTGGTTGTGGAGGCAGCAATCGTGGTGGTGAAGGAGGCAGCAATAGTGGTAGTGGTGGCAGCAATAGTGGTTGTGGTGGTGGCAGCAAAAGTGGTGGTTGTGGAGGCAGCAATAGTGATTGTGGTATAGGCAGCAAAAGTGGTGGTTGTGGAGGCAGCAATAGTGGTGGTGGTGGCGGCAATAGTGGTGGTTGTTGAGGCAGCGGTAGTGGTGGTGGTGGAGGCAGCGATAGCGGTGGTGGTGGTGGAGGCAGCCATAGTGACGGTGGTGGTGGTGGAGGCAGCCATAGTTACGGTGGTGGTGTTGGAGGCAGCAATAGTGGTGGTGGTGGTGGCGGCAATAGTGGTGGTTGTTGAGGCAGCGGTAGTGGTGGTGGTAGAGGCAGCGATAGCGGTGGTGGTGGTGGAGGCAGCCATAGTGACGGTGGTGGTGGTGGAGGCAGCCATAGTTACGGTGGTGGTGTTGGAGGCAGCAGTGGTAGTGGTGGTGAAGGTAGCAGTAGTGGTGGTGAAGGTAGCAGTAGTGGTGGTGGTGAAGGAAGCAGTAGCGTTGGTGAAAGTAGCAGTAGTGGTGGTGAATGTAGCAGTAGTGGCGGTGAATGTAGCAGTAGTGGTGGTGAATGTAGCAGTATTGGTGGTGAAGATAGCAGTAGTGGTGGTGGTGGTGGAGGTAGCAGTAGTGGTGGTGAATGTAGCAGTGGTGGTGGTGAATGTAGCAGTGGTGGTGGTGAATGTAGCAGTTGTGTTGGTGAAGGTAGAAGTAGTGGTGGTGGTGAAGGTAGCAGTTGTGGTGGTGAAGGTAGCAGTAGTGGTGGTGGTGATGGAAGCAGTAGCGTTGGTGAAGGTAGCAGTAGTGGTGGTGAAGGTAGCAGTAGTGGTGGTGAAGGTAGCAGTAATAGTGGTTGCGAAGGTAGCACTAGTGGTGGTGAAGGTAGCAGTAGTGGTGGTGGTGAAGGTAGCAGTAGTGGTGGTGAAGGTAGCAGTACTAGTGGTGGTGAAGGTAGCAGTAGCAGTGGTGGTGAAGGTAGCAGTGGCGGTGGTAAAGGTTGCAGTAGTAGTGGTGGTGAAGGTAGCAGTAGTGGGGGTGAAGGTAGCAGTGGCAGTGGTGGTGAAGGTTGCAGTAGTGGTGGTAAAGGTTGCAGTAGTAGTGGTGGTAAAGGTAGCAGTAGTAGTGGCGGTGAAGGTAGCAGTAGTGGTGGTGGGGAAAGTAGCAGTAGTGGTGGTAAAGGTAGCAGTAGTGGTGGTGAAGATAGCAGTAGTAGTGGGGAAGGTAGAAGTAGTGGTGGTGGTGAAGGTAGCGGTAGGGGTGGTGGTGAAGGTAGCAGTAGTGGTGGTGAAGGTAGCAGTAGTAGTTTTGGTAAAGGTAGCAGTAGTGGTGGTGAAGGTAGCAGTAGTGGTGGTGGTGAAGTTAGTAGTGGTGGTGAAGGTATCAGTAGTGGTGGTGAAGGTAGCAGTAGCGGTGGTGAAGGTAGCAGTAGTGGTGGTGAAGGTAGCAGTAGTGGTGGTGAAGGTAGCAGTAGCGGTGGTGAAGGTAGCAGTAGTGGTGGTGAAGGTAGCAGTAGTGTTGGTGGTGAAGGTAGAAGTAGTGGTGGTGAAGGTGAATGTAGCAATAGTGGTGGTGGTGGTGAAGGTAGCAGTAGTGGTGGTTGTGAAAGTAGCAGTAATGGTGGTGGTGAAGGTAGCAGTAGTGGTGGTGGTGAAGGTAGCAGTAGTGGTGGTGGTGAAGGTAGCAGTAGTGGTGAAGGTAGCAGTAGTGGTGGTGGTGAAGGTAGCAGTAGTGGTGGTGAAGGTAGCAGTAGTGGTGGTGGTGAATGTAGCTGTAGCGGTGCTGGCGGCAACAGTAACAGTATTGGTGGTGACAGAAACCGTAGAATTGATTGTGGCGAAGGTGTGGTGGTGATGATGATAGTGCTATCACTATAGCATTTTAAAGTTATCGCTGTAGCAGATGACTGTTTATTGTTGCGCAAGTTTGGAGATTAGTTGTCCAGATAACCTTCACACAGCATTGCCTCCTTGTTTGCCGGTGAAGGAAGCCAGGATGTATGCCATTTTGTGCCTTCAGATCGGGCATCAACCACTCCCCCTCGTCCCAAAAGCCCAGTGAACAAAGCGTTAGTTGTTGTGTTGCTTTAGAAGGCATCCTCAAACATTTACCTTGTGTCAGAAAGTATATGGTAGCAGTGGCTGGGATGATTGTCACAGTTGTAGCAGTGGCTGGGATGATTGTCACAGCGGTAGCAGTGGCTAGGATGATTGTCACAGTGGTAGCAGTGGCTGGGATGATTGTCACAGTGGTAGCAGTGGCTGGGATGATTGTCACAGTTGTAGCAGTGGCTGGGATGATTGTCACAGTGGTAGCAGTGGCTGGAATGATTGTCACAGTTGTAGCAGTGGGTAGGATGATTGTCACAGTGGTAGCAGTGGCTGGGATGATTG